TTGCATTAGGGACAGAAGAAAACCTAAAGCTCGTTTCGTTGAGCACATTGCTCAATTCGTATAACCACCAGCTACTCCAAAAGCACTGTTGTCAACAGCAAGCCACCGCACTGAACTGTGTGGACATTTGGCTTACAGTCTGCCAACAAGGGGCAAGGGAACGCTGATACCCAGGCACAGGCACCCAGAGCCCAAGGACAAAGGAGCCCATTGCAAACACAAACACGATCCAAAGCCAAAACAGTGTCCCACAAGGCTTTCTACCCAACAGCAGAGCCAAAAACCACTGGCTTCTTAACACTTAGTAGCAACACAGGAACAACAGAACCGAAAAAAGAAAAATTTGGTTCTCACAGCAATGGTCATCAATCAGACAGCTCCTCTGCAGCCTGGAGGGCTTGGGAGGAACCATGGCTGCAGCACAGCCACAGCAGGAGGCAGCCCAGAGCCAAAGCACTGCTTTTCCCACAGGTTTCTAACGGTTTCACGAGTGACAGCAGCACTGCTTACAAGGCTGAGCCCCAGCCATGCTATCTAAGGAGGTGCCCTTGCTCTGGATAACATCAGTAAGGTTTATTTCCCAATGTTTTGCACGGGGTTTTTGGAATGCGTTCAAGTCAGTGTGGTTGACAGCTGCCTCATATCAGGTGACTCACTGAAGCCACACGTCATAAATTGCTCTTACTCAAGCTATGAATTAGCATGGCAGGTTGGTAAAGGAGTCTGAAAACCCTCTGCTGAAGACACAGCTAAGCCAAGTAAGCCCTTCCAATAACACATGCCATTCTTGCAGAGCCACTCGTACCCTTTTCTGCACAAAGCCAAACTGAAACCAAAGGACCAAAACAAGCTGCAACTTGGAACTGCAATTTCAAGATCTCAAAATACACGTAACAGAAAAAAAATAAATCTATCAAAAAAGAGTAGCAGTCTTAATTGCAAGATGGTCTTCCCACTCTAATAAACTCAACATTTTACATGCTGAACATTGGCACTGATGCCCAGCTGAGTTTTACACTGGTGAGAAGACAGACACCATCAGAGGTTTTGCAAAGAGAAGCCTTTCTTTAGGGATCCAGTAAGGAAAACTCATCCACGGAGCCGAAATCGCCTTCCCCTCCAATTTGATATTATCTGAATTAGGAGGACAGGAAGCAAGCTTTGTTTCAGGCAACAAGAAACAGTCTTATCACCAGCACTAATGCAACAGGTTTTCGAGTTTCAAGATCTACATGTGGCAAAACAAAAAGCTTTTGGCTGTTTACCTCGGAGATATGCAAGCTGCTCTAAAATAGCCTGCCTGGGTGGCTCTGCACAGCACCTCTTGTTTGGACAAGCACGTTCAACGGGTGACTATTTGAATTCTGACTCACTCCAACATGCCGGGGCACCCGACTGTACCAAACCCCAAAGTGCTGACTCGGGGTTTGTGATGCAAATCCGGCAGGAAGCAGCATTTCCCTGCTGGGACAAACTGCCCTGGTCACCGGGACGCTGCACTGAGTGGCACAGTGTGTGCAAAGCACGCAGCTAAAGGAGAGCTCTCCCAGCCATGTGCTGCCATTTAATGTCTGACCTTTTTTTTTTTGCGTCACTTCAATCAAACTGTGGCAATTGTGAGCAAACTGTTGTTATCTTGTACCACTTGTAGATGGACAGCAGTGCAATCACAAGGAACTTGCACAACACTAACAGATATTGGCTTCTGTCAGAGAACATAAACACTAAAGATTTAGGCACTGAATCAGAAGTTTCTCTACCTCTGACATAACTTTAACCAATTCATTCAAGCAGCAAGCATGAACTACAGACCTTCCCCAAAATGAAAATACAAGAACAGACTCACATCATGCCACCAGAAAGTGATGCAGTGTTGGTGCAACCCCATGGGCTGCTCAGAGATCCAAAGGAGCCCAAGAATTAAACATCTAAGCTGTGCCCTGGCCTACAAAGTAGCCTTACAACTGTTCTGTTATTTAGAAGCAATTATCAAGGAAAAGTAAACAATCTGTTGGGTATTTAGAAAACATTCCGGTCCACTGCAGTCATTAAAAGGAAGCCAGGTGCTGTGCTGAGCTAGGAACCAAATCAGCAGAACTTGCTCCTATTCCCTAGCGCCAAATCCCCATGATCACTGTCACCTTACCAACCCCTTCCACTGAAGGCAGCTTTCTGGCCCAGGAGTCGCTCAGGGACTCACATTTCTAAGTGCAGCGTTTGCAGCTTACGTGGTTGTTTTGGAGAAAACGCTGAAACAACACAGGTTTTTTCTAAGCTTTGATCTACAACACAAAACATGGCTCTGCTCAGAGCAAGGCATGAGGAAGAAACTCAGGTTTTCCAGGTCTGTGAAAAACCAAAGGGAAAAACATTCCAACCACTCCTACAATTCAGCACTGTGTCCCATCCTTGCCTGAGAGGAGGTGAAGCCCCAAATCCCATAGAACAGCTCAACTATCACAGCTGCCCCTGAGCTGCCATAGAAGAAGCAGCTCATACCCAGCTGGCAGTGCTATGCGAAAGCCGTACTCCAGTTCTGCCAGCCATACCAAACTGGGACCAGCAGCACAAACAACACAGAGCAGAGATCAGGGCCCACATCTACCCAACTCAAACTGCAGATGTGCTTCCTGAGTGGGAAAATACCTATAGTCAGTCTTCACTCATCTTTTTACTGCGTGGTGTGAGCCCCAGCTTGGCTGAGAAAGTATTTGTATCTGGTTCTGACTAAGCATAGGCTTCCCCATGTAACTCAGCAGCCATGGGGTGCACGTTGTCCCAGCACCCACGCAGCAACAAACCCCACAGACAGTGACTGAGGTTTCCTTCTCCTCCACCAGCACTGTGTCCTATTTCTTATACTATAAAACAGCTGAACTAACCAACACAAAGGAAAACTTTTTGGGTTTTTGGTTGTTGTTGTTTTTTTTTTTTTTAAAACCATCTTTACACTTTCCAAAGCAACTCAGGTGAAAAGCAACCACACTGGAAGCCAAATGTCAAAATCACCATATACAGAATGAATGAGAATATTCTGACTGGTTTCCAGTGAGACTGTAATGAAAACAAATGCTTGTTATACAACTGACAACCCTCTCACTGTGTCAAAACAAGATGCAAGAACATCAATGGGCTCTGTGCACCAATATGATATTCCTTCATGGTTACTGGATAAGGAGTCTATTTGCTTAACAATATAATGCTTTTTTTTTTTTTTCCTCCAATAGCACTACCTATGGCTCAAGGAGAAGCCCTACAACCTCAAAAACTGCTGAGGCCAGCTGTTGGCAGCCCCAGGGACACAGAAGATAGACACAAGAGGAGCTCTGCACAGAACACCACTGTCCCCCAGGCACCTGGCAGCTTGCTGTCAGCCAGCAGCACACCACCCTTCCCACTTGTAGGCATGGCAGAGGTCAGAGAGCCTAAGCATATAGGTGGCAAGAGACATTTTTTCAACCTGTTCCCTCCTGTTCAGAAGAATGCGACCCATTTGCCATGGATCCACGCACCCTGCCTGCCCTTGGAAGCAGCCACGCAGCCCAGTGAGGGGACCTGCAGGCCAGCACCAGGCACAGGGCCTGGTGTGAACATCACCTTCCATCCCACAGGCAGCAGCTGGCTGCAAATTAGGACAGCTAACTATCAGATCTGACTTCACATGGTTACATAGAGCTCATCAACTTACTCCTTCAAAGTCCATTAAAAAGACTTAGATGTTGTCAAAAGCTACAATTAGAAGATCAGCTCCTATCCTACTGCCCTTGGCTGCTAGCATGATGCCAGGGGGCTTGAACTAGACTGACCTGATCCCTGAGAGCACCCACAGCTGCACGCAGAGCCCAAGCACAGAGAAAAGGCAGGAGCAGAGCTGAAAGGCAGCACTGCTCGCAAGCAGGCTGCCCAGCTCCTCTTCCAGTAGTGCCTGTGGGTCCCTCAGACACCTCTACAAATACTTCCCACGTATTGCTGTACATACATTCTGTGCAGGAAACAAGGTGCACAAGAAGTAGCTGAAATTTAACCAAAGGAAGCACAGACGGAGGGGGAGCGAAGGAAAAACCTTACAGTGGTTTGTCTCGTGAGTTTGTTTCTTCGTTTGTTTCCTTCTGCAGAATTCCACGTGCCCTTTCCCAGCCATGAAAGCTCTTCATTGAATCCATTTCATCAAAACTACTTCCACCATATTTTAAAAATCTCTGCAAGGAGAAACATCAGTTTGCTTAAAGGCAGGAGATATCCACAGCTTCAAAATGCAGGTTTTATTTCACATGCTTTCATCTGATGCAGCCTCGTGCTCTCCTTCATTCCCAGCATCAACCACGCATCCTCCTAACAGATCTCCAGCAGTCACCCCAAGCCTGGCTCTGCCAAACTGCAGCAGCTCCGCTCCAGCCCCAGTCACACACAGATGCCCTACAGAGAATCCTCTTCTGAATGATCTTAAAAACTGGGCAATTAATGTAACGGAATCACATCTGATATTTTAATCTGAAGGCAGAGCTTCCAATTTTTGAGCCATACAGCAAAGCAACAAGCACCAAGGAGCTACTGAACGATGATGAAACCCATTACACGTGACTGTCAATAAAGACATCACCTGTGTTACACAAGAAGAGAACAAAGGCCAGTCACCTCACAGCACAAAGCAGTCATTTTGCACAACGCAATATTTTATGACCTTCATACACTCCAACAAAATCAACATTCACATCAATACCTCTGATTTCATACCAAACTGCCAGTGACCCAAAGCTTTCAGGAGGAAAGTCTGTGCTCTGGCCTTGTGCACAAGACAACCAGGTTGTATCAATAACCAAAGCACAGAACTCAGCCTGCTTCCCAGTCAGCTGTGCACTACCCAAGGAGGAATGCCAGTCACCACAAACCAGCTAATAGTGGACAAGAATGAAGACTTTTTTTTCCTAGTTCTTCAACATTATGGCATCCCTGAATCTGAATTGCATCTAATCAAACTGCTAACATTCCCAGTACATTACCACGAGGCTGCTGGGATAACCAGAAGCAACAGCAGTGTTTCAGTGTCATCAGCATGTCTCCATCTACCAAACACTTCAAGCAGTTGCACTCAATGATCCACGTAGGTCCCTTCCAACATTCCATGATTCTAAGACATTGGGGATGTCACAGAACATCATGGGAGAACTGGCGGCTGTCAGTAAGACCCACCTTGGTTCAGATGCGTGCATCCCAAATATCTGCTGTCCCCCAAATGCTGCTGACTCGTGAAGCCGAGCTCAGCTCATCTCCCCCCACACACACAGCCAAATGCTGGGCTATTTTTGGGCGCAGCATGTCAGTTCCAGTGGGTGTGGGAGTTTGTTTGTGTGGGTTTGTATGATTCGACTACTTTGAAACTTGGCTGAAGCCACATAATTCTCTTTTTATGGAACCCCCTTTGATGGCCATTTAACAGAGAGGGTGAGGTTTAGCCTCAACTGCAGAGACTCGGGGTCAGAATTACTAGAAAAGGGATGCATAATGACTAACAATGAATCAGTCTTCAGTGGTTTCTTCATTTAAGTGTTAATGCAGCATAATAAACCCCTGGACTAAGATCAGCAGGAAGGCTCTGTCTGCAATAAGTAAGTTAGACCTGCACAGGCTCCAAAGGGACACTTGATCCCATTTAACCCTTGATGTGTACAACCAGTGCCATGCAGACAGCAGGACTGACACCTGAGAGAGGACAGCACAGCTCCCCATGGGATGGCAGAATTCACACACGTTTCTCTTCAGCCAGGGGGAATTTCAATTACCAATTTTAGTCTGTACTACCCTGGCAACCTTGGAGCACCTGCCTAAAGCTTTACTTTGTGGTGGGGCAGGAAACTGTCTTGGTACAATTATTCTGACAAGAGCAAGAAGGAGCATGCTACACGTGCTAGTGTATGTTTCATGGCAATTGTACAAGGCTGATATATAACACAATGAAAGTATGCAGAGGGGAGGAAGGTGTTGAGTTGCTGCTTATCTTTGAAAATATCCAATCCCCAAGGAGTCCAGGTCCAGAGCAGCACACTGCAACTTCTGTATTTTCTTCTAACAAGATTCCTCCTTCAAACACAAATGAGAACATCTAATTCATCCTCCACGTCATTCACAAAACCTTTGCAAGACACCTACTAAGAAAAGAGACACCAATCCATTTTTATGTCATAGCTGTTCCTCTTCCCACTCACGTTCAGCAGCAGCCTCTCTCCCTCCCAGGGGCTATTTCTGTCCCTGCCCCGGGGTACCAAGCTCCATCCATGGGCATTCATCTGCTCCTGCAGCTCAGCAGCAGATCCAGAGCTTCGCAACAACAAATGTTTGGGAGGAAGAGCTCCTGTGCAGAAAGTGGGAGGCTGCAGCGCTGAAGAGATACCAAATACATAGCCCCCTCAGCCCCCAATTAAGCTACCACTGACACAGCAGAAAAGTACTAATTACCTTTCCTAGTCATGCTGCTCCCTCACCAGAGAAGGCTGAATGCAGGGCAGGTTCTGTGGCCGTTTGCTCACCCTGCAGGAGCAGTGCTGCTGGTAGCTGGTATTCCGTCTGAGCTGCTGCACTGTTACACTCATCAAGAAGAATCCTGGTCTCAAATTTAACCATGCTCTCACATTAATCTCTTGGTAACCATATGTTATTTCCTACAGCAAGAAAAATGTTTTAATGAAACATGTAATGTCTCTATTTCAGCTTGTAGTTGATACAGTTAATACCTCTGTGGGGTTTAATAAATATTCTCTGTTATCCCCACTGCAGCAACTATGCTCAGCCTAAGACCATTTCTGGCTCTTAGGCTTTTACTAAACCTCTCCACTAAATGAGAACTAAAACACAACTCTCTTGCAGCATACAAACGATGAGAACAAAAGGCCATGTGAGCAGTATTATAATAGATGCCGGAGGAATTAGTAATTACAGCTATTGGCTTTTCTTATGGCCAAGAGAAATAAGAAGCAGTGCAGACAATGCACCAACAAATACCAAAAAAGCAGAGGAAAACAACTGAAAAAGGTCACCTTACAAGGCCTCCGAGTGGCTCATAATGAAACAAACAGCACCAGTATGAAATAATTCCCCTCTGACACGACAAGAAAGGACCACAGTGTTGGGGCACACAGACTGCTTGGACTATCATGCTTTGAACACTGATGATCCGTGGTTATCCTGTAGTCACATGCTTTGGTGCTGCATGCCAAAGGTAGGGAAGAGCAGGAGAACAAGCAGCAGCCAAGACTTTTCCAGTGACTGCTCCGCCAGCAGCTCTGCACTCATCTCAAGGAAACAAATCCAGACAAACCAAGGCGGCTTCTAAAGGCTCCCACATACAGCACATCAGTCAGGGCCAAACTCCTTCCAGAGCCTCAAAACCTAACCATCACAGCTGGATTTTAGCCTGCTTTTCAAGTGTCACAGTGCCCACCTCCAAGAACTCTGTGCAAGATTTTTACCGTTGGCTCTCAATTCTCCCGAATGCAAACCACGGAAACAAAGCCAGTTCTTTCAGAAGGGACCATCCTCCCCTGGTTAAAGCAGAGACATCTCCTACCTCCAAAGAAGGCTCAGCTTCTTAAAAAGAGAGAAAAAAAACACAACTCAGGTCAGAGGAAGTAAAAAATAAGTAGACCGTGAGCTCACAAGAAGGTAAGGCTGGACAGCAAGGAGGTCACTGGGCTTGGGAAGTTGCCACATTCTTTCAGGATTGTGAACTCTGATGTCCATTGCATTCCAGCTACACTCAATACCCTGAAGAAGAGATGCAGCAAGATATCCTGCAGGTGCCCAACTAATCCCAGTCAGAGCAACCGGTCCTAGTTCCTTCCCAGCTATCAGAATTGGGCTCCTACAGAGTCCAGGACTCTAACTTTGCATAACTGGGGACTGAATATAAATTGCTGGCTTGGTTAACACATAAATTGTCAACTGTTCCTTTCTATTTCATTAGTTCCAGCAAATACAATTATGAATACAGGCCTCCTGCCCTTTAGGATGATTAACATTCCCTTTCATTAGTGTCCCCAACACTGCTGACCCACATTCAACTTGTGAAATCCAGTTATATGTAAACTGCAATGTTCTGTGTCAGCAAGATGTGCCAGACCACCAGAGCCAGGAGCACAGAGCACAAGCTCTGCTCCTTTCTGGAAATAAACACAGTCCTTTAACTACAAAACAGCCAAGAAAACCCAGTCCTTTAACATAAGAATGGGCACCAAACCATTCTTTGCTTTACTTTTTTTTTTTTTTTCTTTAGGTAAAAGGGGACACAAACCAGGAATGCTCACGCTGTTATCTTTAGATGTCACATCAAAGTCCACTTGACCTGGCAAACATCCATAGGAAAGGAAAACAGATTCCCAAACCTTATCAATAGGCAGGCTACCTTTTAAATTCATGAGCAGCAATGAATACAAGCCTTCCAAGTTATTAATTTCACCTTCAAAGTCATGTAAAAAGACAGGGCACACTATTTTTCAAGCGAGCATAGATATTCATACTCAAATTCCTTTTGAAACAGAAGAGCATGGTTCCCAAGGAGCAGCCATGATGAGCAAACCAGCTTTCCTCTAAGAGAACGTGACATGGGGTCAAGTTTGTGCAGGGATTTGATGGCTATATTTGAACGCTGCTTGATTCTTCTATGCAACTACTACTGGAAGAAATCATCTCTGGAAGGGGTCACAGCACACTCACCAATTGTACTACATTTGTGTGGTACGTTCAAAGGATTCTTTCAGATCACGAATGGAACCATTTTACCAAGTCTTTACTTTCTTCTAAGTCATTTCCATTAAGCCAATCCGTTTCAAGTATTACTGGGATGAAACCAAGCTCTCAGTGGTTGTTTTCTATTCCCACTGCCATTTCAGAAAATACTTCCCATACAGATTCACCCTTTTCAGGGTATTTTACATCAGTACCTCCCTTCTAACCTCAAGAATCCCAGAGCTTGAAGCAAGTAACTCTCCCCTCCTTCCTCACTCCTCTCCTGGAGTCAGCAATGACAGCGCCTGCAGAGAAGGAGAAGTACTGAAATAACAGCACTGGGGATTTGCAGGCAAAAAGAACCCATTTGCTTGGCAGGGTGGGATTTTAAAGGAAACCCGACCTCAGAGTTAAGAAAGCTTCCAGGTCAAGTTTCAGCTCCTAGCTGTTCCACCTCAGCCTTCCCAGCCCTGCCATTCACACAGCCAACAGATCCCAGCTGTTCTCAACACAGGTATTTCCCTCAACATGACTGCGTTCACAGGGACTTCATCTCCTCCACTCAACTGAAGGGAATTTCGAGGCACACAAAGCACCACCTCCGGAGTAGCTCACACTCCAGCAGGCTCACTCGCAGGTGACAGCAGCAACTGCACCTCCATCCCACCCTGAGAACAGCTGTGCTGCTTCCTAAAGCAAACAAAGCACCTTCCCTAGCTTCAGAGCTGCAGGCACCAGTAAGCTGCTGTTTAACAGAGCTTCTTCATGGCCAGCCATTCCATCTTGTTCAATCATTCATAAATAAAGCATCAGAGTTAACTTCAGTCCTGTCTGTTCTGAACGCAGCTTCCTAAACTTGTGGACCTTTTGCCATTCTTCAGGAAAAAAAAAGAGCAACCTGAATGCAAGACTGTCTCTGCTTGAGTATTGTGCAAACTTTGAGTTAACATCACTCAAGAGAAGCCTCGACTCAACAAGAAGGGATGAATACATCAATGTTACCTGCAGCCAAAGGACTGATCTCTGCTTAAGAGAAGTCTTCTGCGTTTGAAGCATCCAAGCTGCTACCACTGCTTCTAGTAGGGAAGCTCAGCATCGGGAAGGGAAAAAAGTGACTGAGCCCCGCGCAAGGGCAACAGTAGCTGAACTGCAGGTTAAATTGTAGCATCTAACACTTGAAACGACATCAGTTCATGCAATAGACACAAACGTATCCCAGTTCTGAACAGAAAGCTCCAGCAGATGTTTAACGACCGATTTCTAAACAGCCCCTGCCATGAATTTCACGCAGTTACCTGGGAAAAAGACAGACCAACCATCAACAAAGCAACCCCACGTCGAAACAGCTCCATAAATCAGAACGCAACTCCCAAAATTCAGACGGCAACTCGAACATGACAGCTACAGCCCTCCTCGCGGCCTCGAGCCGCAACGCAGAGCGGGACGGCATCGCGACCGAGCCCTGAGGGCCGCGCTTCCAGCTGCCCGCACCGCACCGCGCTTCTCACCGCCCGCCGGGCTGCTTTGGGCAGCGCTGCCGTCTGACAGCACCGCCCGGCTGCGGCCCGCGGCCCGGCCCAGCTCCTGCTCTCTCCCCGCACGGCGCGGCGCGGCTCCGGCTCCGCCAGCGGCACGGGAGCGGGGCAGAGCCGGCGGGAGGAGGCGGGCGGCACAAACGCGGCCGGGCCGGGCTCCTCACCTTGGCCCGGGTCACCAGGTGCGTGGCCAGCTTCACGACGGCGAAGTTGCCCTTGCCGATGGTGCGCTCGATCTCGTAGTAGCCGATGCGAGCGGGTCCCGGGGGTCTGGGGGGCGGCGGGGCCGGGGGCAGCCGCGGGGCCGGAGGGGGCCCCCCCGCACCGCTCGCCGCCGCCGCTGCAGCCGCCGCCGCCATCTTGTAGCGAGGAGCAAACCCCCCCCCTCGGGGCTGCGGCACCGCGTGAGCTCATCCGCGGGGGGGCGGGGGGCGGGCGGCTGCCATGGCAACCCCGCGGGGCGGGGCGGGTGACGTCAGCGCGGCCGTGACGCCCCCGTACGTCACCGCCCGCCGAGGCGCGGGATTGGCCGAGAGGCGCGGCATGGGAGCCCCGTGCGGCGCGGCGGGGAGGGCGCCCCCGCGTGGGGCGGCGGTGGAGGGCGGAAGGTCACGGGTTCGAATCCTCGACACCTCGGCGCGGGGCAGGTGGCCGGTCCTCTCCAAGCTTCATTTCGACCCACAGCCGCTCGCTTCCTCGCACTAAGATGATCTTTCACCACAGTTACGCATCCGTGCTTCGTTCCTTTTGTGGCACGAGGGAAAGAATGCTACTTTTAGCCTGGTAGAAAGTTCTCCTACTGCCTTAATATTGTACCCGGAATTGGAGCATTAACACTTTAACTCCCAGTGCACTACATGATGTTACGATGTGGAATACTGAAAACCAAAAAACATAAAACCATGACAAATGTCTCTTCTAAGATCAAGCAAGCCTCGAAAATATTTGCAACTGCAGGCCTGGCTGCCCTGAGCAAAGCACTCAGTCCCTTACAGGACACTTGTAGGAATCTTGCTGTGGGTCTGCAGACACCCCAGGCTCAGTGCAGCCCAGCACATCCCCTCAGCTCATTGCACTGCTGTCATGTGCTGGGAAAATGGCTGCAGGGTTACATAAAGCAGGCAGGGGCATGGTGCTGGCAGCACGCCAAGATCGCCACCCCTCTGTGTGCTTCCTGGCAGCAACCTCAGGAGCAATCCTCCCTCAGAGGTACAGCAGGCGAGAGAAGGGGTCTATGGAAACAAAGGGGCCTGGGCAGGAGGTGCAGGCAATGCACAACTGTATTTCAGAGATTAAATCTCCGAAAAGCCTGAATGAGGAGCTACAAAAACCCTCCTATTCTTCTGCTCACCGCCCATGGTTCACAGGCACTGCACTTGATCATTGCTGGCTTTTTGCACCCCTCAATTTCCACCCAGCAGTGCCTCCCACCCGCAGGGATCTTCCCAGAAGTTTGTTGTTGAGGTTGCCTGGGGAAACGGCTGAATTCGCCTCAAGTGGTCTGGCTGTTGCTAAGAGCAACATTTCAGCTGCAGCTGCCCATGAAAGAAGACAGGTGTGCTAGTTATGTGTTTTAAAAAGCCGTGAAAGAGCAAAAGACTGCTTGCAGCACAGCCTTCCTTTAATAATCATTAATCCTTGCCCTGCTGGCACTGATCACGTGGGACAGTGACAGCCACTGGCAAGCGGTTGGAGTGCAGGGAACCTGAACCACCACCTCACCACCGCATTCACCCCATGCTTTCACCAGGCTGCCTCCTTGCCACTGGGTCTGCCTCGTCCTGCCTGTTCCTGCTTCGGGACAAAGCAGAGAGCGAAACCAAATGGTCCTTTCTTTGCTGCTTTAACTTCAAAGTACAGAACTCTGGGGCTGCAGAAACTGCGCATGGCCTTGGGAATGCCACAGCGTGCAGCTCCCCCCGCAAGAAGGGTCTGCGAGGAACACGTGCAGCTCTCACGGGTCATGGTGAGACTGAAAAGATGCACAGAGAGGTGGAGATGCTCGGAATGCAGCGATGGCTCTGCGGCCTGGTGGCTCCGCCATGTTTTGCTGCACCTGCACGGCGCTGACCTACAGCAGCCCTGCCACCGCAGGCCGCCAGCCCGCCTCACCTCGCTTCCCGACGCCAGGCCGCGGGCCCGCCTCCAGCCGGCCCGGCAGCGTGACTCGACCGACGTCACCGCCTCGAGAATGACGTCATAGCGACGTCACCGCGGCGCGGTGCCCCCTAGGGGCCGAACGCAGAGGCGCTCTGGGCGGGACTTCCGGCAGCGCGGCCGGAAGCGTCGCGGGGAGGCGAGTGGCGGTTGGCTGTGTGGCGGCGGCGGAAGCGGAAGTGGCGTTGGCGCAGGCGCGGAGAGAGCCCGGGCCGAGGGAGGGAGGCGCCCGCCCGAGCGAGCCATGGAGCTGCGGGGGGAGCTGCTGTCGCCGTGAGTGCGCGGGCACCGCCCGGCCCCGCCCCGGGCAGGCTGCAGGGCTCCGGGCCTCGCCTCGTTCCGTGGGGGGCGGCGGGATGGCGGCGCCGTGCTTTCAGCCCCTCCCGGCCCAGCGGCTGCGGGCGGCCCGTGGGAGCCGTTGGGTGCGGGCGGCGGCTGCGGGCGCTGCTCAGGCGTTGGCCGCGGGGCGGGGCGGGATCCGGCCCTCAGCGCTGCCATCCGAGGGAGGAGTGCGGCTTTGTCGCCGTGCCTGCAGGGTGCAGCTTGCAGGGTGCAGCCCCGCTGCCCGGCCTAGCGCCTGCACGGCGCGCTGCTCGGACCTGGTTTTGTTGCGGTGTCTGTGCTCTGCGGGCTGCCGGGCCGCTGGGTGAAGGGCTGCGTTTGCCCCGATGGCCGCTGCCCTTCCTGCCCGAAGTCCCTCGGGATCGGCTCGGCCGCGATGCGCAGCCTCCTGCAGCCGCTTAATCCACCTGTGCTGCGCGGCTCAGTAGCCGTAAGCTGGCTATCGCTGTACTAATAGGAGCTAATCCTCGGATTACCAGCATTTATTATAGTTAAGGATTTGCCCAGCTGAGGTGTGCTTCTGCAGGACGGTCTCTGAAATGAGCTCTTCTTTGTCTTTTTAAACACGTTGTTTTCACGTGTCAGTAGATGTTTCAGGAGGACTGCCTGCAGTCTGTCTGGCAGTCCTGCACAGAGTGAAATGGATTTTGTTGTCAGCTAAAAGTCAACGTGCTTCGGAATGGCCGTGAATTGTCCATTGTGAATGTCAGGAAGTGCAGTACTTTTCTGCCAGCCTGCCTTTTCCCCTGTGCTTGGATAAGCTGCTGAAAGCAGCCTGTCTGAAATGTTCTTTCCACAGGAATAGAATGAGCCATGGAGACTCGAATCCTGCAGCAGTCCCACATGCTGCTGAGGATACTCAGGGAGATGACAGATGGATGTCGCAGGTGAGAGAGCTGTCGTGGGAGATGGGAGCCTTTTCCTTGAGGGGCTGGGGGGCTGCTGGGTGAGTGCTGCATGTGCCTGTCGGACCACATTCTTGATTTGAGGTTGTAATATCTCTGCTACCCAACAGCTGGCAGCATTCTGATGCTTCTCTTACTTGAATTGACGAAAGAAGGCAAAAAGCAGCATGACCTGAAAACTACATTGTGGAATAATTTCAAGAAATAGTCCTGTTGCCCATTAACTGAGAGAAATTGCCAAGCCCATTGTTAAACAAAGTGCAAAATAGTGCTTTCCGGTGTGTACCTTTGCAAGGGAGTGACAAAGCTGAAAAGGAGAGCTGAAGTGTTTGGTCTCCCATTCTCCTCTGCAACACTTCCTACAGACAGAGTGAAATAGCCAGAGGATACTTGCTGCACTGACTAACTGTTAATTTATCTGTTCTTTAATTGTTGAATTTAGTGGGTGCCTGACGTATGGGTCACATATGGGTGGCATGGACTAGACAAACACTGCTCTTCTCAGAACCGAGGCCGCATCCCCTGTTAGAGTTTGTGTAGTTTAGGGGATTGTCCAGTAGTTCATGGGTTAACAGGGAGAAGCACATTGGAGGGCAGACAGGAGGGAGCAGGGGGAACTGGTTGGGCAACTGTCCCTTTCTGTCCTGCAGCAGAGATACTGATGAGGAGTGATCAATCTGAGCTTAAGTTTATGCTGCTTTCTTTTAAACAGCACAATAGATTTGTTTCGGACTGCAAAGACAAGGAACCTGATGTGCTCTTCGTGGGTGATTCCATGGTGCAGTTGCTACAGCAATATGAGGTACTGATTAAAACAAAAAAAAAAAAAGGAAAAAAAAAAGAAAAGAAAAGGCAATTGTGGGGTTATGTGAATTAGAATTTCTAATCCATTAACGTACAATTACTCACTGTCCAGACTATTTGTTTTGTTCTGCTCTGATTTTACTGCTGGTCTTCTGGTTTATTCCACCCTAATTCCTTAGTCATCCAGTGCCTGTTCAAAGTCTTGCTGATTTATCTCTATAAGCCATTTGTCATTCTCTGAAGCAATTAATAACTGCCTTCACTTTGATACGCATACACAACCCTTCACTAGTTCCTTGATTACAAACTCTCAAGAGCATGCCAGTGAAATCTTTGCAGGTGTGTCTTTCTTGGCCAGAACACGTTTAACCCTTGATGTACTACATGCACTGACATACCTGCTTTTCTGTTGACAGAGTGCTAAAGACCTTCTCAGGAGTGAAATTTACATTAAGGACTAGCTGGGTTGTTTTCCTTTGCTTAATCTGTGAAACTGCTGGAGCAAAACTAAGAATTTTGCTGCTCCACAGTGGTGGTAACTGAGTAACATTGTTCTTCAAGAGCTGCTTCCCAGTGTAGTTCACTTTTTCTAGTTTTGTTTCCTGGCAATATGGATACTTTCTTTAGAAGTCCTGTAATTAGCTAAGCTAGGGACACCATGATCTACAGCAGCTCCCTTCTGTAGCTCTGATGCCAAATAGCTATTCAAGAGAGCTTCCCCTTCCTCTGTGCCAGGATTGAGTGCGTGAATGTCAGCAATTCTGTCTCTTCTGGACCATGAAGTAAAGCTTCATCCTGTGCTTAAATGCCACCTCTGGAAGTGATTTTTCAGAGGGTTTCTCACTGCTGTTTCCAGTGTTACTGAAGGCATTTTGTGTCTGTGTAGTATCTTTCTT